CCCTCTAAATCCTGGTTGTCCCCACAGAGTTCCAGCCCAGGCTGTCCTCCCTCTACTGTAGTCCCCAGGTGAGTGGCTGTGGCTATTTTAGCACTCTGTCCCGGCTCTCTGCACTGTGGAGCAGGCTTGGTCTTTATTCCCCAAGGGTGCTGCTCACAGCTAAGACTGCTGCTGTCTGTGGGCTCCCAGCCCGCCACCTCTTGTGCCTCCGCAGATCCTACCAGTGTCCCTGGTTATATGGTCCTGTCCTGCTGCTTTTCTGTTGCTTTCTTCCAAGGATTTGTCTTTATTTTAGTTGTAATTCACATTTGGTCCTGAAAGATTGTCTGTGTAGCTTCTATTCACTCTGCCTCCATTTTCACATCCTCTACACCTATCTTGTGCGCAGCTGGGTCACACAGTCCTCTCTGGTGTCCCGCACCACGCAGGTCCTGTGAGCAGGCAAACTGCATTGCACCAGCTTCCCACTGCTCTTGTGAGCTGCTGGACCACACAGGCCTGTTTGGAGCCCCAGGTCCCACCGCTGGTGGCTGGGGAGTGCTGCTGCCCTGTGGGACTCAACTCCTGCTCAGCTTTTGCTGTAGTTTTGGGGGATGGGTCTCAGCTGCTGGTCTGTGCTTCTGTTGCCTGGGGATGGATGTCTGGTCCCCAGCCTCTGTTTCTGGGGGTATATCTCGACTCTGATCAGGCTGCTACTATGTGGGATGGTGCTGGGCTCCCAGCTGTCTGTGACTTCCGCGACCAACACCTTGGGAGCTCCACTACTGTGCACTGGTCTGTGTTGACACAGAGTGTCCACTGGTCCAATGGTGATAGGTGCGCTAGTGGGCTCAAGTTGCCGGGCCCTAGTGGCTCCCACTGCCTCCTTCCAGGGAAGACCCGGAATCTTCCAAAATGGTGGTACCTTCCCATGGCACAGGGAGAACGCACTGAAGGACCGCTTACCGCAGTAGCCAGCTGCTCCCGTCCACAGCACAGGAACCTTTTGCTCCACGTCTCTGCACTGTATGAGTTTGGTCATCCACCTTCACATCCACTCACACTCTCTCACACACTAGCTCACTCTCTCACACACTCACCCTCCCTCCAGTCCTGCCCACTGCCATCTTCCCTTATCACTTCAAACATTTTATGCCAGTTCCTTCTGGCCTGAAGTGTTTCTGTTGAGAAATCAGCTGACAGCCTATGGAAGCTCCTTTGTAGGTAATTAATTGCTTCTGTCTTGTTGCTTTTTATTTTAATCCTCACCCGAAGATACTTTTTTCATTTATCTTCAGATAGAGTGGGAAGGAAAGAGAGAGAGAGCGAGAAACATTGGTGTGAGAAAGATACATTGACTGGTTGTCTCCCCACAACCCTGTCCAGGGCTGGGGACCAAACCACAACCAAGGTAACTGCCCTTGACTGGAATCAAACCCATGACTATTTGGTCTGTGGGCCGATGTTCTAACTGCTGAGCCAAACTGGCTAGGGCCACTTGGGGAATATTTATTTGTCTCTTCAGTTTGTCTTCCTTTTTGTGTTTGTCTCTGTGTATTAGGTAAATCTGCTATGACTCCCATTATGTGGGCTTTCAGATGTAGGTGCCTGTGGGTCTCAGGGGTGCAATCTTGTAGATCACCTGAACTAGGTGCTCCAGAAATGATTCCTGCGTGGGTTATGTGCCCTCTCCTGTTTTAGTGGAGTCTTGAATGCTGTTGTCCCATTCATAGGTAGAGTCAACCCTCAGGCTGGCTGACTATAAGGATGAACCTCATTCACTGTGTATGAGTCACTGTTCAGAGGCTACCCCCTGAGGCAGAGTGTTCCCAGCAGGGTCTGATGTCTGCCGTAGTCCCACTTTGGCTGTGCCATTTTTGTTGTTAGTAGATTTGAGCTCTTGTGTGGTTTGAAACCCATCAGTGGTTGTGTTGGTTTTCGGCCCTCTTGGCCTGGGCTCTGGTCAATATCTGACATTGTGTGTAACTGGCCTTAGGCTATCCACCTGGAGCTACCATATTATTCACTGTTTCCTCTGAGTCTCCTGGGCCTGGAGTATGTGGAAGGAACCATGCTGTGTTCAGGATCAGCTTTCTGAAGCTCTGAGCTGATCAATAAAAGTCCAAGGCTCCCTGAGGTCAGTGTCCACCAGTCAGCTACTCTGACCATGCTCCCTCCACCCCAGGTTGCCTGGACTTCCTCCAGAGTTTTATGTAGAAAGACTATAGAGTGGGCCCAAGATGGACACAGCCCACTGACATTTCTACATGGTTTAAGCTCAGTAGGGCAGGGTAACTGGGTCAGAAGGATGGGGCTAGTAGGTGCCCTACTTGGGGGCAGCATGGTCAGGCACTCAGTGGGAAGAATGTGGCACCTACTCCAGAGCTATACCACTCAGTTTCTGCTAGAGTCTCCAACTCTAGCTCCACCTGGAGGAGCGCACCACAGGTTCAGGCTGGGTGCAGCCAGCTATCCCCACTGTAGCAGCAAGCTCAGCAGGACAAAAGCCTTCTGTAAGGGTGGTACCAGCTGGGCCACAGTAAGGCAGTGAGCTGCACTCCTCCCCTTAGCTCTGTAGCCATGCCTGCTTGAGCCTTGGACTGGAGCCTCAGTGGGAGATGCACTCCAAATGTCCTACTTCTGAGCAGAGCTGTGCCCCCCACCCCCAAGAACTGAGACCAGCAGGATGGGGTCAGCGGGACTTATAAAAAAAGATCAAGAGTCCCTTCCCCTCCATCAGGTTTCCTTCTGCAACAGGCGTGGTCACGCTGTCGCTTGCTCTTTCTACTGCCATCTTGTTTGTGTTCACTGAACAAATTGTGCAGTGAAGCCACAGAAACTGTCCCTGCTACAGCGCAAGAGTTGCCACAGCTCCAGGCTGAGACAGGGTCTGGAACAGAATCTGTGATGAATCAGTACCAGAGCTTGAGGAACAAGATTCCACACAGGCAACCACACAATAAGCCCAGCTGGCAGTGGCAGCTGAAATTGATGCAGAACCAGTCAGTAAAGCAAAACAATGCCAAAGTGAAAAGAATGCATGGAAGACTATGTCCAAACAGGGCCTTCGACAGGTTACAGGTGTTACAAGGGTCACTATCCAGAAATCTAAGAATATCCTCTTTGTCATCACAAAACAAAATGTCTACAAGAGCCCAGCTTCAGATACTGACATAGTTTTGGGGGAAGCCAAGATCAAGGATTTATCTCAGGAAGCATGGCTAGAAGCTACTGAGAAATTCAAAGTTCAAGGTGAAGCTGTTTCAAACGTTCAAGAAAACACATAGACTCCAATTGTACAAGAGGAGAGTGAAGAAGAAGAGGTTGATGGAATAGGTGTGGAAGTTAAGGACATAGAACTGGTCATGTCACAAGCAAATGTGACAAGAGCAAAGGCAGTCCAAACCCTGAAGAACAGCAGTAATGATATTGTAAATACGATTATGGAATTAACAATATAACCACCTAAAAAGGACAACCTTTCTTTCTTTCTTTCTTTCTTTCTTTCTTTCTTTCTTTCTTTCTTTCTTTCTTTCTTTCTTTCTTTCTTTTTTTGGTATTTCAAAAGAGTTACTTCAGTTTGGTTTAAAATTTTTACTGTTTCTATTTCTTGTGGGATGGGAAAAAAAAACTCAGATCAAATCAGTCTTCCTTTGGAGGTGGCACTGGCCAACGGGAGGGGAGCAAGTTGCAGGCCTCCCTTAGCTCCACAGCCACACCACCAAAGACCCTAACAAGGAAGTCTTCTGTTGGAGGTGGTGCCAACCAAACCCATGGGATGGGGGTAAAGTTTAGCCCACGTTCCAAAGCCGCAGAGTTCAATGATCATCTGAGTTTGCCTATAGTTTTTCCAGAAAAAGAGTGCACCTCGGGTTCCTGTTGGATGCAGCCAACAGTCCATTCTGCCAGACTTGAGCTTGGCATGGTGGTGTTGCCAATATTTGGAAAACTGGGTTAGTGCACATCCCTACCTGGTTCTGTAAGAATAGGAGTGCCCAATCCTAGGAGATAGAGCCTAAAGGCAGTGTGGTATGTTGACTCAGGACCAGGACCTCAGTAGCCAACTCTCCAGAGCTCTCTCTGGAACCATGCCACCCAGATCTCTTTATGGCTTCCATATGCCCCGAGTCACCTTCCCTCTACCAGAACCCCAGGTGAGTGCCCAAGAGCAAGCTCCTGTGTGTTGGCCCTTTAGAAGAGTACCTGGAATTCTAGCAGACTTCCTCCTCTTTCCAGCAGACAGAGTTCCCATGCTCCTCTGGAGGAACTTTTACAGCTGAGATATTCCTCCGACTTAGCTACTGCACCTGGGTGCAGAGGCCAGCTCTCTCCACATACATCTCTGTCCTTCTTACCAGTCTCTGTGTAGCTTCTTCTATAAATAATTGGATGTAATACTCCTTTTCAGTTGTCCTTCAGTTGGTCATTCAGGTTGATTGCTTTATAACTTATTTTATTTACTTAGTTTTTTATCCTCACCTGAGGACATTTTTTCCATTTTTTTTGTTCAGATAGAGTGGGGAGGGAGAGAGAGAGAAACATCGACGTGAAAGAGACACATCGAGTGGTTGCCACCCGCACAACCCAACCAGGGCCGGGGACAAACTGCAACCGAGTTGCATGCCCTTAGCAGGAACTGAACCCAGGTCTCTCTAGACCGCAGGCTGACGCTCTACCGCTGAGCCAAACCAGCCAGGGCTGATTGCTTTATAATTTAGCTGTAAATCTGGTTTGGCGCCAGGGGGAGGTGTGTGTAGCTTCCACCTACTTTGCAGCCATTTTGGATTGCCTCAGATATGGTTTCAAACCCAGTGTTATTTTCATTATATCATAGCAATGCTAGGATGATGAAGGCAGAACAAAATTTAAGAGGGAAAATTTGAGATCCACAGTAAAGCTAGAATTGGCAGGACTTTTATTAGACAACTTTACAGTTATTGTCACTGAGACTCTGGGAAGAAAGGGTGATCAAAGTTTATTGTCAAACTGAACATTTATTAATATATTCTTCTTTCTTATAGGACATTACTTCACAGCTGGATGACATAATGCAAAGTGTGCAGCGGGCAATACATCGCTACACTTTTGACGAGAATGTAAACTCTGGAAGGAAAACCTCTATTTTAGAGTATAAGAAACGTAGAGCAAATTTGCTGAACAAAATAGCTGATTTTGCTGATTCTGCTGAAATTAAAAAAATGACTCTTGTCCATATCCTGGCCTGGTTGGAAGAATGGAGTAAGTTTTCAAAAGTGGTTTGTAGGAAAACCACAAAGTTAATGAAAAAGCTAGAGAACAGAATATGTAAGTAAAATTTGAAGGATTAGAAGAAGACTAAAGAAGAAAGGACTAAACAGTTATTCAGAGAACAGTTGTCCTCTATTTCAGTAAGAATAAAGGTATAGGCTTACTCACTTAGTGCCAGTGAGTCTGGCCTCTTTGTTTTGCTTCAGACATGCCAGCAAGCTCTTGCCCAGTGTCTTTATGCTTACTGTTCCATTGCCTAGAACATTTTCCACCAAGTAGAAACATGCCTTATTCTCTGCTTATATCTTACTTTAAATGAAGTGTTCTCTTTCCTCTGAACCAGGGGCTGGTAGTGTGACATGCTGTAATTGTCTGGTGGAGAGTCATCATTTTGCTTTAATGATGGGGAGTCAGCTCAGTTGGCAGGGAGTGGGTTGGGGAGGGAGGTACGAATGAAATAGTATTGGAAAATAAATCTCTACTATCTCTTTCCGACAGTGACTTTTTTATTATTCATAAAATAAATAAGAATGGATTATACCTATAATACCTTTATTTAAATCCAGTGTCTACTCAGCAGCCTTTATCTATATTCATATGTATACCAAGTGTTAAACATAGTTATAGTTAGGCATTTGAACTTAGTTTTCTTTAATAAAAAAACAATGCTGCTATTAAACATCTTTGAAAATGGAAAATAAAATAAAATAAAGTGAGATGTTCTCTGACCATCCCCATTCCCTACCCTTTATTCATTACTCTTTACTCTATTTGTGTCTATACCATTTCTTACTATTTGACATACTATATAATTAATGTTTTTATTTTTATTTGTTTGTCTGTCTTCTTTCACCAGACTTTAAGCAATATGAAGTTAGGAAATTTTTTTTCCAATGTTTTATCCTCAAAATCTAGAATAGCACATGACAGAGGATGTTGGTTGAATAAAAGAATAAATAAGCTAAGAATACAAAAAAGGAAAATTTCATTTGGTTGCAAGAAATCCCATGTAACAGGACTTATAAAATAGTAGATTAACTTACCAAAGGAGTTCATTGGGATTTAGATCCCCAATATTAAAACACATGTTTACATTTTAGATACCTACTTCCCTGGAGTCATGCAACTAAATCAAGTAGACATCTTTTAACCTGATTCATATTTTTATGTCCAACACTTACCGTTTAGCCTTCTATTCCAAGTCTCTCCTTTTTTCATTTCCTCATAGAGAATAGTCTCAGAATAGCATTAAGTATGAGATACCTATATTCCCCAATACTACAACATTTAATAGTTAGCCAATACTCTAAGCCCATATGGCTACAATTATTTATTGTTTTGCACAAAAGTAACTTTCTTACTCTCTTCAAGATGGCATTTTGTCTGAGATGACTGCAATTGATGTTGATGAACACCACCACTGGATAGCACAAATGGAGATTTTACCAGAAACTTTCAAAGCTATTGAGAGCAATGTCAAGATAATGAGTAACATTAGTACCTCCTGGTATGAAGAAAAGAAGATACAAAGGCAAAAAGCAGGTAAAGGTGCTTTAAGAACCTTGGAAATGTATTTGACTTTTTCTGAAAGAGAGCTTTATTGAGGCATAATTTACATACAATAAAATTCACCATTTGCCCTTGCTAGGTGGTTCAGTTGGTTGGAGTGTTGTCCCATACACCAAATGGTTGCTAGTTTGATTCCTGGTCAGGGCACATACCTAGGTTGTGGATATTTCTCTCTCACATTGATGTTTCTCTCTCTCTCTCTCTCTCTTTTTTTTTTGCATATACCACACTTTGTTTACCCATTTACCATTTCATCGACATTTAGATTGTTTCCAGTTTTTGGCTCTTCTGAATAATGTTGCTATGAACACCCATGCAGAAGTTTTTGTGTGGACATATGTTTTCACTTCTTTTGAGTAGATACCCAGGAGTAAAATTGCTAGGCCATTCATCTACTGCTAGTAAACTTGTGTTTAACTTTTTAAGAAATTATTCACCAATTTCCCAAGTAACAGCACCATTTTACATTCCCATCAGCAATGTATTTGGGTTCCAGTTTCTCAATATCCTCAACATCATTTTTATGTCTGTCTTTTTAATTATAGCATTTCTAATAGTTGTAAAATTGTATCACATTGTGTTGTTGTTTTTTGTTGTTTTTTTTTTTATCCTCACCCGAGGACATTTTTCCACTTTTTGTACAGACAGAGTGGGAGGGAGAGAGAGGAAGAGAGAGAGAGGGAAACATCGATGCGAAAGGGACACATCGAGTGGCTGCCACCTGCACGACCAACCAGGGCCGGGGACAAACTGCAACCGAGGCACACACCCTTAGCGGGAACCGAACCCGGGTCTCTCCGGACCGCAGGCGGACGCTCTAACCGCTGAGCCAAACCGGCCAGGGCATTGTTTTTTAATCTTCACTCAAAGTTATTTTTCCATTTATCTTCAGATAGAGTGAGTGAGTGAGAGACACATTGATTGGTTGCCTCCTGCACAATCCCTACCAGGGCCGGGGATGAAACTGCGACCAAAGTACATGCCCTTGACAGGAATCGAACCTATGACTCATTGGTCCGCAGGCCAATGCTTCTACTGCTGAGCCAAACCTGCCAGGGCTCATTGCAGTTTTAATTTGCATTCTTCTAATGACTGACATTGTTAAGTACCCTTTAATGTGCTTATTATCCATTTCTGTTTCTTCTCTAATGAAATATCTATTCAAATACTATTTATTTTTATTATAGAGTTTTAAGAGTTCTTTTTTTTTTATCCTCACCCAAGGATATTTTTGCATTTATCTTCAGATAGAGCAAGAGGGAGAGAGGAAGGTAGAGAGAGAAAGAGAAAGATCAATGTGAGAGAGACACATCGACTGGTTGCCACTCACACAACCCCCAACTGAGGCAGGGACAAACTGCAACCGAGATATGTGCCCTTAGCAGGAACCAAACCCGGGCCTCTCCAGTCTGTGGGCTGATGCTGTAACTGCTGAGCCAAACCAGCCAGGGCTTAAGAGTTCTCTATAGTGCTCCCTTTGGCAGCACACATACTAAAATTGGAACAATACAGAGAAGATTAGCATGTCCCCTGAGCAAGGATGACAAATTTGTGAAGAGTTTTGTGTATGTATGTATGTATGTATATATACATATATATATATATACATATATATATATATATAATTTTTTAAGGAGTTCTTTATATATTCTGGATAAAGTGATTTGCAAATATTTCTTCCCAGTCGGTGGCTTGTCTTTTAATTTTCTTCATGGTGTCTTTGAAGCCCAAAAGTGTTTAATTTTTATAAAATCATATCCAATCAATTTATCTTTTTTTTTTAAATCCTCACCTGAGGATACCTTTTTTTCCATTTATCTTCAGAGAGAGAGAGAGAGAGAGAGAGAGAGAGAGAGAGAGAGAAACATCAATGCAAGAGAGACACATCATGCCCTGGCTGGTTTTGCTCAGTGGTTAGAGTATCAGCCTGCAGACTAATGAGTCGCGGGCTTGATTCTGGTCAAGGGCACATACCTCAGTTGCAGTTCATCCCTGGCCCTGGTCAGTGTTGCGTGGGAGGCAGCCAGTCGATGTTTCTCTCTTTCTCTCTCTCTCCCCCTCACACTCTATATGAAGATAAATAGAAAAATATCCTCAGGTGAGGATTAAAAAAAAAAGAAAAAAAAATAAGAGACACATTTCTTGATTGCCTTCCCCATGACCTCACTTTTTTCTTTTTTCTTTTTTTTTTTTGTATTCAATTTTTTCTCTTTTTCCTTCCATATCTCTTATTTCTCTCTCACTCTGTATGTGTGTTGTTAGTCTTCTCTCCTGGGGATACTTTTCCATTGAATTTTAGATAGAGTGGAAGGGAGTGAGAGAAAGAGAGAGAGAGAAAGAAACATCAATGTGAGAGAGACACATCAATCAGTTGCCTCCTGCACTGCCCTGACCAGGACTGGGGATTGAACCTGCAACCCAGGTACCTGGCCCTTGATTGGGTATTGAAGCTATGACTCTTCAGTCCATAGGCCAATGCTCTAACCACTGAGCAAAACTGGCCAGGGCTCTCTCACCTTTTCTTATTTTATTTCTTTTCTTTTCTTATTCTTTGTTTTCCATTCTTCTTTTCCTAGTCTTTATTTTTATATATTATATATATTTTTTTCTCTTTCTTATTTCCTTTCACAGTCTCTTTTTGGTTCTCTAATTTTTTTTTTTTTATCTTCACCTGAGGACATTTTTTCATTTTTTGTTCAGATAGAGTGGGAGGGAGGAAGAGAGAGAGAGAGAGAGAGAGAGAGAGAGAGAAACATTGACATGAAAGGCACACATCGAGTGGCCGCCACCCACACAACCCAACCAGGGCCGGGGACAAACTGCAACCGAGGTACATGCCCTTAGCGGGAACCGAACCCAGGTCTCTCTGGACCACAGGCCGGTGCTCTGACTGCTGAGCCAAACCGGCCAGGGCTGTTCTCTAACTCTCTCTTTTTTTTTTCCCTCACCCAAGGACATTCTTCCATTTTCTGTTCAGATAGAGCGGGAGGGAGAGAGAGGGAGAGAGAGAGAGAGAAACATCGAGACGTGAAGGGACACATCGAGTGGCCGCCACCCGCACGGCCAACCAGGGCCGGGGACAAACTGCAACCGAAGTACGTGCCCTTAGCGGGAACCAAACCCGGGTCTCTCTGTACCACAGGCCGACGCTCCAACCGCTGAGCCAAACCAGCCAGGGCTGTTCTCTAACTTTTTATCTCTTGTCTTTTATTATTATTTTTTGTTTCTTATTTCTTTTATTATTCCTTTGTTGTTGTTGTTTTTGTTTTTAGTTTGTTTTGTTTTATGTTGTTTTTGGTTTTGTTTTGGCTTGTTTTGTTTGTCAGCACCCATACAACAATTTGCAAGATGTGGTTGAGGTTGAGCTTCATAGTCAACCAGCCTGAAGGTCAAGCCCACTCACAAATGGGACAACAGCAATCAAGGTCCAATAACAACAAGAGGGCCCCTAACCAACACAAGAAATTCCTAGAAAACCTAGATAAAAGGAGATCAAGGAGACTACATCACTGGGTCCCTTCGGACGCCTATTACAGAAGGCCGCCCAACTAAGACTGGGTGTCATAGCAGTTTTATTGAATACACAGAAACACAAAGAGACAGAAAAAATGGGGAAACAAGAAACAGGCCCCAAATGAAAGAACAGGAGAAATTTCCAGAAAAAGAGCTAAATGAAATGGAGACAAGCAATTTATCAGAAAAAGATTTCAAAGTAATGGTTATAAGAATGCTCAGCTGACTGAAAAAGGACATAGAAACCACAAAGAATAATCAGTCAGAAATGAAGAATAACATCTAAAATAAAGAATGCACTGGAAGGAATAAACAGTAGGTTAGATGATGCAGAGGATTGAATCAGTGAATTAGAAGACAAGGTAGAAAAAAAATCACTCAATCAAAGCACCAAAAAGAAAAAAGAATTAAAAGCAAAGTTTAAGGAAACTTTGGGACAACATAAAACATAATAACATTCTCATCATAGGGGTACCAGAAGGAGAAGAAAGTGAGCAAGGGATATAGAACCTGTTCAAAGAAATAATGACAGGAGAAGGAAAAAGTCATTCAAGTTAAGGAAGCACAGAGAATCTGTGAAATGAAATGAACCCAAAGAGACCCACACCAAGACATATCATAATTAAAATGGCAAAGGTTAAAGACAAAGAGTGAATCTTAAAGGCAGCAAGAGAGTTAGTTACCTCCAAGGGAATCCCCATAAGGTTGTCAGCTAATTTCTCAATAGAAACACCACAGACCAGAAGGGAATCACATGAAATATTCAAAATAATGAAAATCAAGTATCTGAAACCAAGACTACTCTATCCAGCAAAGCTATCATTTAAATTATTTTTTATTTAAAAATTTTTTCTTTATTGATTTTAGAGAAAGAGGAAGGGAGAGGGAGAGAGAGAGAGAAGCATTGATGAGAGAGAACATCAATTGGCCGCCTCCTGCATGCCCCCCACTAGGGAATGGGCCCACAACCTAGGCATGTGCCCTGACCAAGAATCAAACCTGTGACCTCTTGGTGCATGGGTCAATGCTTAACCACTGAGCAACACTGGCTGGGCCTATCATTTAAGTTAAAGGTAAAATAAAGAGCTTCCCAGACTAAAAAATAAAGATGAAAGGAATTCATTACCACCAAACTAGCATTGCAAGAAATGTTAAAGAGACTGCTATAAGAAGAAGAAGAAATAGAGGGGGTTGGGGAGCATAGGCATAAAAAATAGAAATGAAAATAAATATCTATCAGCAATAACCTTAAATGTAAAAGAATTAAATGCTCCAATCAAAAGACAAAGGGTAGCTGAATGGATAAAAAAACAAGACTCATATATATGCTGTCTGTGAGAGACCCACATCAGAACAAAAAATTTACACAGGATGAAAGGGAAGGAATGAAAAAAATATTCCATGCAAAGGCGGGGGCGGGGGAAGCTGGTGTCACAATACTTATATCTGACTATAAAACAAATGCCATAACAACCAATAAAGAAGAAAACTTAATAATATGAAAGATATTGATCCAACAAGAGGATTTAACCCTGGTAATATATATGCACCAATATAGGAGCACCTAAATATATATTTTAAAAATAACTCTTGAAGGAGTTTAAGGGAGAGATTGACAGCAATATAGTCCTAGTAGGGAACTTAACAGTCTACTGACAAAAAATCAACAAAGAAACAGCAACCTTAAATGACACACTAGATAAGATGGATTTAATTAATATTTACAGAACATTTCATCCCAAAGCAGCAGAATATACATTTTTCTCAAGGACACATGGAACATTCTCAAATATAGACTACAGATTAGGACACAAATAAATAAATCTTAACAAATTCAAGAATATTGAAATCATATCAAGCATCTTCTCAATTCACAGTGGCATGAAACTACAAATCAACTACAATTTAAAAAACACTAAAACACATGGAAGCTAAATAACATGTTATTAAACAATAAATTTGTTACCAATGAGATCAAATAAGAAATAAAAAGTTACCTAGAAACAAATGAAAATGAATGCACAATAACCCAAAATCTATGGGACACAACAAAGGCAGTCCTGAGAGGGAAGTTCATAGCATTACAGGCCTACCTCAAGAAACAAGAGAAAGCTCAAATAAACCATTTAACTCTATAACTAAAAGAATTGGGAAAAGAAAAACAAGAAAATCCCAGAGGAAACAGAAAGAGGAAAATAATAAAGATCAGAGAGGAAATAAATGATACAGAGACTAAAGAAACAATACAAAAGATCAATAATATCAAGAGTTGGTTCTTTGAAAAGATTTAAAAAAAATTAATGAACCTTTCGCCAGATTCATCAAGAAATGAAAAGAGAGGACCCAAATAAATAAGACCAGAATTGAAATAGGTGAAGTAACAATTGACACAACAGAAATACAAAGAATTGTAAGAAAATACTGTGAACATCTATGTGCCAACAAATTGGAGAACCTGGGCAAAATGGAAAAATTCCTGGAAATATACAATCTTACTAAACTCAATCAGGAGGATTCAGAAAACCTGAGTAAGCTGATATAATTAATGATATTGAAGCAGTAATAAAAATAATAATAATAATAATAAAAACTCCCAGCAAACAAAAGTCCTGGACCAGATGGCTTCACAGACAAATTTTACCAAACGTTCAAAGAAGAACCAACACCTATCCTGCACAAATTACTCCAAAAAAAATTCAAGATGAGGGAAGACTTCCAAACTCTTTTTACAAGGCCAGCATTATCCTAATTCCAAAACCAGATAAAGACACTACAAAGAGCCCTGGCAAGTTTGGCTCAGCGGTTTGAGTATTGGCTGGTAGACCAAAGGGTCACAGGTTTGATTCCTGGTCAAGGGCACATACCTGGGTTGAAGGTTCAATCCCTGGCACTGGTTGGGGTTGTGTGGGTGGCAACAAATTGAGGTGTCTCTCACCTTGATGTCTCTCTCTCTTTCTCACTATCTCTCTCTCCCCCCTCCCTTCTTTCCACTCTATCTAAAAAAATCAATGGAAAAATATCTTCAGGTGAGGATTTAAAAAAATGACACTACAAAGAA